GGGGAGGGGGGGGGGGGGGGAGAAATGTACTTTCAGATTTCCAAGATTCTGTTAATGTAATCATACAATAAAGTAGAATTAGCTCATCTGGCCATATTTCCTGTCTGGTCTACCTCACAAGGCTGACAGGTCCCTTCTGAGACACTTTCTCCACTGCCATCCCTTGTTTGAACTCAGATTTCATTTATCAGACCATTGCCTAGGCTGCTGCTCTTCCTCCTGTCTCCCAAGGTTATTCTTACAGCCCACTACATCTAGCTAGAGTTGGGGGGAGGGGGAAGAACCCTGAAAAAAAATAGAAGAAAAATTATCCGGCTATATCATGCCCTCCATTTCTACATGTTGCTTGCTCACCATTTCTCACTTTGCTGGGCTTATGGGAGGAAGAAAATAATCTGCCTTTGCAACCTGCTAAAGTATCTTTTGATTGCCACTTAGAAATTAGGCAGTATAGAAAAATATATATATATTTTACACAAGGTATTTTTGTTAGACTTATATCCTGCCTTTATTTTGTACATCTCCAGGTGGTGTACACAATGCTGCCACCTCCTATTTTCCCTACAACAATCACCCTGTGAGGTGTGTTGAGCTGAGAGAGAGTAACTGGCCCAAAGACACCCAACCAGCTTTCATGTCCAAGGGAGGAGGTCTAGAATGCCCAGACTCCCAGTTTCTAGTCCAGCATCTTACCACTACACCAAAGTGGCTCTACAGCAGCTCTCCACAGACTGCAGAAGCCATGAGGATTTGCTAGTCAGCCCTAGCATTGTGCTAAAAACTATACAATCTCTGAGTTCCCCAAGGTGATTCAACACAATCATGGAGTTTTAAGTTGCTAAAGTACAGTTGAAAAGCTCTCTAACATAATCCAACATGGGAGTGAGTAAGGTAGGATGGTCAGAGGTCACACTTAACATGTGAGGAGAGGGCTGAGGACCTAAAGTGGACCACATCACACATGGGAGCCGGGCAGAGCTGGAGGGGAACATTGCTGTTTTTAATTGGGAAACACCTATTTTAGGGCTCACAGCACATTTGTTTCCAGTTGTCAGTATTCAGCCACTGTGGTTAGAGACTCAGGGGGGGTTCAGGGAATTCTAAGCCATTCTGGGATCATAGGTTGCCCCCACCCGTGTTGAAAATGGTACGGCAGGTGTGTATTTAAGTATGGATTGCATAATTAGTAACTTCTTAATGCTTGTTTTGTACAAGTATAGGTGCTGAAAATACCCTCCTTTTCAGAACTATAATTTTCAGAATTTCCTGAATCTTGATTCTTCAATCAGCTTTAAGCTCTGGTGCAACTGTGCCCCCAACAGTCAACATGTACACATTCTCATAACTAAATGGTTGGGCACACATAGTACAAGTAGAGAAGTGACTTGAGGGTAATCTCTTAAGGAAACAGGTCCCATTCCAGTGAGGTTAATGTTCTGTAATTCAGATAAAAATCCCAGATGCCAAGTTTTTCCATTGGGCAACTAAGCATAGCACTTCGGAAAGATCTTTGTGTAGCCTTAATCGAATCTGGGCTCAGTTTCAACAACACTCAAACAATGGGCCATTAAAACTCTGAATGTTTAAGCTCTCCATGTTTCTGCTGTTCTACCATGGCTGGATCAACAGCTGCAGAACACAATGTGGTTGAAAAGAACAATAAGTCTAGCACAGAAAACTATTGGTTCAGATTCATTTGAAAGATTCTAGAAGTGATAGTTGTTCTCAATAAACTCATTCATCCTACCTGGTAGGAAAGCTACATTTGTTCTCTCCCTAGAAAGAACCATATGGTTACTAATATTAGCCCACTGTGTTTCATTGTGGCCTTATATTTTAATTGTTTGTTTGTTTTGCTCAGTGTGGCTATGCATACCTAGCTGTCAACTAAAGATAACATTCAAGCATCAGATAAATTGGGCTCTGATCCATGAAAGACTACGCTACAGGCACAGCTATCCCCAATGTATGACCATTTGTGAACATATTTTGGAATCAAAGTATTACAAAAAAACAGCTAGGTTCTCTAATACTCCCTAATATTGATCTAAAATATAGTTATCGGTTATTTGAAAAAAAACCAAATCCAACT